TTAGCCTGCTTCGATGTGCTGCCGACAGATGGAGCAACGCGACGAGCACGAAATGGAGAGTCTCAAGTAATAGGGTGTTACACTGCTCGCCCGGGATTACGTGTTTATCGGCGCCATTAAATTTGAAAAATTTTTGCTGTCGGTCCATGGGGCTACGGGGGGGTTTTCAATGTAACTCCGGTTATAAATGGTTCTGGAGATGCTCGAATATTTTCCGCTAAGAATAAAATAACACTTTACATTAGACGTCATTTTTGTTCCGACAGAATAAGTATTTTTTCAACGCAAGAAGGTGTATGCCGCCATCTCTAACGCCACCATTAAATTTCAAACTCTCTCCGTGGTTTCAGTTGAATACACTCTTACCTAAGGCTCTCTACGCGAAAATGCGGCGCTTCGAGCGGCCGATCTTCGTACAACGATGAGCCATTACTGCACGTACAAATGCAATGTTCACGGTGATCTGGGAAAGAAACCTTGAATGCCAAAGCAAGCAAGTCGAAACACTAGAAAATCGTGCGTTACAGAGACTCGCGTCGTGCCAAAGGAAGCACAATAAAAAAACATCCTTCGTGAGATCGTCTGCTAACACAAAGACCCGGCTCGGCGACCCCTGGCGGGGAAGCTCGGCGCGTTTCTTCAGCGCCTGGGGGAGGCAGGTGCACTTCGTCGAAGCCTTGATGTTCACGAAGTATAGTTAAACGCGTTTATTAATTTGTAGGTTTGACGTCGTTGTCCGATATATTGAGCAGGCTAGTCAAACAGGTATTTAGTCCTGAAGATGCGGCCACGATACTTTCGGCAGATTATCATTTCTTTGAGAAACATGTGCTCTTTCTTTTCACCCGAGGGATCAGGAAAGCAATTAAGTCGATCCCTTATAGGTAAATTTTAGGAGGTGTACCGCAGTTAGCACTCGACGGTGAGGCTTTTAAAGTACTCGCTACTCACTGCGTGCCCTCAAAGACAACCATAAACAATAGCCAACCGGAAGTAACATACTTCCCCCCCCCCCCTTCTTTCCGGAAGTTCCGCCATTATTTGATTTTGTCTACCTTCCCACAGCCCCACACCCTGCATACTCCCATACACCCGGTGTTGATTCCCCTCAGTGATGTCATAGATGTTTCGTACTGTAATTCATAAATGTGGAAGACAACAATCAAAAACAGTTTACGAAACGCACGGTGTTGCATAATATGTTCGCCACACACAGTGTTTTATGAAATTAACAAAACATAAAAAACATACGCCCTCGTGTGACGTCAAATTAACTTGCGTTCCAAAACTGAACCCATGGATCGGTTCAGAAAAAAACATTCACAGGAGTCATGAACCATATATTCTCCTCGCTATAAATATATGACGAACAGTAAAAAAAAAAATCGGAAGCTCGTGTGTAAGATCCAAGCATATTACCTCGAGGCGTAGCCGGAAATTAAAATTTTCCAAGCAGGAAATAGAGGAGAACCAGGAAGTGATTTGCATAGGAGATTTACATCGCCGCCTCCATGTCGTACATCTCTCGTGTAGAGACAGCGTCGGTCTCGGGCTGTGCCGCTGCGATTGTTCTTTTGGTGACAGAATTAGTGTGCTTTTCGGCGTGAAAAATTAAAAAAAAAAAAAAGAATGCTCTCGATTCGGCAGTTATGTTGGGACCCATAAATCGCCGGCACCGCTCGCGTCGTGCATACAGCCTCTCTTTTCGTAAAGTCCGCTATTCTCAGCAAACAGAAGAAGAAGAAAGAAAAATACAGAAATTTGAATATGCACGCAGGAGCCAAGAACAAAGCTTAAATAAATAAAAATGGATGCTATCACAAATCTCAAAACTGCGGCGAAACGGGAGAGCCTCTCGACCCGTTGCCCGGCAATAAACTGTCTACTGCGCTATAAAATTCACAACAGAATTCTAATTCAACTTTTGTGGTTGTTGTTGTTTTTAAGTAAACGTCGTATCATGATAACCGTTGTTAGTCTTGAAAAAAAAAAGTGTTTTTGATGCCTTAGATAAAATTCTTTTTGTTATTTATATTTTTTCAAGATAAGTTATAACTTTATTATATCCAACCCTCCAGGGAACGGCTTGACTTTTATAAAAAAAAAAAGCAGAAAATCCAAGCCGAAAAAAACAGTAGTTTTTCGTTGATTCTTCCAAATACAAGTTTCTACGGGATAATTATTGGTAATCCGGATAACATTTTAGTTTACGGATGAGACGGTGCATGATCATACGCCATCTTGAAAGAGACTTTCGAACGTGTTTGGTGGCTCTTAAGGTTTCTATATATTCATCATATGGGACAGTGTTTCGATAATTGCATAGTTATCTCGTAGCATTCCACTCAATCAAAACCGCTTCTTCATCTGCGGCTTAGCAAAAAACAACAAAAAAAACAGGTCCGGTTGCTAAATATTTTTGACCAAGTAGCAGCGAAGAATCAAGTCGATCGTGGAATTAAGTTTTATTGAAACTCTTCTTTACTTCAAGAATACCAAAACCTTCACTGTAGATCGGACTGTTGCCACTTGGTTCATTTGTACCAATTCTTGTATCACGTTCCCCTTATGTAATGCCCGAAAGGGTCTTTAGGGTTAAAATAAATAAATGAATAAAAAAAACTGAGCTATAGTCTAAAAAAACGCTCCCACGCTCTCAAATGCAGCATATTTTTGCAACCTCTTACATGCCTCAACGTATGCTTCCCTTACTAAAGGGCAAACAGTTAACAACTAAGCTATATAATTCGCTGCAACTTGACCCTTTCGTGCCCGAGCTTGAAATATCGGAAACCTTAAAACCCTGACGTGGTTTTAGAATACACAAAATAATGAAAGTCTAGTCTCAAAAAAAAAAAAAGTATAATTTCTTTCGTAAACATGTTTTTCATGCGTCGCTCGCTAGCAAGATTGAGCTTACGAGATACGAGTCCCATGTGTTGGGCTTATGAGCCGAGATCTAAAAAAAAAGTTTCTGCCTTTTGGATCGGCTCACACAAAGCTAGTTAAAAGAAGCATTACCAACACGTGCTTGGAGGCCACTCTCAAGAATCTTGTAGACATGCTGTAATGGTAGCTTTGCGCTGCAGATTGAATGCCTACAAGACACACGCTTCCCGCACAGGTGTCTAACTGAGGTAGCTTGCAGAAAAAGGTAAGTGGCACAAGAAAACCCGCCCGTGATAGGCCCAATGTAAGACCTGCTGTTTTTTCGTACTTACACTCAATGTCCTACTATTAAAAAAAAAAAAAAAAAAGTGGTGCAGCGTTTTAACGTTTTCCTTGTTTTCTCGGCACCTACTAAAATGGTGCAGCTTTTCCAGATAATGAACAGCCCCGAGCAGCCGTCTGATCCTTGCAGTATAAAGCACAAAACTTAATCTGCTGAGTGTGCGCCGAGTGTTGTTTACGAGATACCCCTGTTGTGCGGCGCTGTGTATACATTAGCCAGACGGGCCGGTGCGTGAATGACCGTGCACACGAGCATGCGGCTGCAACGTGAGCTAGCCCTTTTGGCCATCTCGTCATTCACCGCAGCAGGTGCCCGTGTAAGCCTGTGTTACGTGACATTAAGATTCTATACTCCATTCCACTTTATGATGTACCGCAGGAAAGGCTACAAGCGCGAGCTCCTTGCTCTAGGGCACGTCTCGGCGGCACAAGCTCTCGTGCACTAAGGGCTGCTGCCAACGCTATGAGCTCGCGCTTCTAGCCCTCGCTGCGGTACAACATAAGGCATGGGCGTACCAACCGGGCGGGGGGGGGGGGGGGGGGGGGGGAGTGGGCAAGGGCGGCGCTTGCCCCCCCCCCCCCAGTTCTCAGAGTGGGGGCGGCAAGGCATGTGTTTTGCCCCCCCCCCCCCCCCCCCCCCCCTGAAGTAGCCGCCACTGGGCAGGGCAAACACTGGCCGGCGGCGCCCAAGGGATACCAAGGGCACCGTCCCCCGGCCCTGGGGGAAAGGGGGTGGTTTGCCCCCCACTCAATAACAAGTTGGTACGCCACTGACATAAGGTGAAACGGACTATAGCAAGGTGCAAAAACATCACAAGCGGAGGAGTTCATAAGGCCTACGAAATTCGAGATAAAGGAGTAGATTGCAGAAGGGAAGTATCGATCTTCATATAAAAAAAAAGAGTTTCATTATATTGAACAAGCTTTGAATCGACATGCTGATGACTAGACAAGCGGTAGGGGCCTATATTATACGTGTATTTTTTTTTTTCGAATAAACAACACTTACTAGTGTGCTTTGTGTTGTCTTACTTCTTCTTGGTCCTCCTTGTTTTCGGTGCTTTTGTGTGTTTTAAAGGGATGGTGAACCGAACATTTCAGTGTCTATAATAATCGGCGCACTCTATTTCCATGAGTCAACAGCCGCCGGTGTGCGCGAGCACACGCAACGAAATCGACGTCATCATATCTCCCATTCGAGCTTATTAAGCGTGAATGGGGGATATGATGACGTCAGTTTCGTTGCGTGGGCTCGCGCGCACCAGGGGCTGCTGACTTATGAAAAGATAGAGCTCCGCTTATTATAGACACTGAAATGTTCGGTTCACCATCACTTTAAACTATGAACCGACTAGCCCAATTAAACACTTTGCTGGTTAATTGGGCTAGTAGTTACTGTTTCCGACTCTGGCGCTCAATTAAATTTGAACTAAACCAAACCAACAAAATGTATCTATCCAGGCCCTGTTGAGGACTGGAGGGCACATGTGATCACCCGAAGATCTTTTAAGATTCAAACCTCTAAACCTCAGTTACACGCCGCTTTATCCCCATTAAAGCTCTGTTCGACTCTGGGCACCTTGGTCAGGATCCCAACCCGCCGAAGATCGCTGGGCCTGCGCTTTGCCTCAAAGCCACCGAGGCGGCGCCAATAAATTTGGGTGCACTAACCCGAGCGACCTTGAGTGTGCTTCTAAGCTTACCCATGACGACACTTGGTTTCTTTTTTGCGCGCATAGTCAGGCGGCGATCTCGCATACCCAAGCTCGATGGACGCCCAGCTGGTCTGCAACTTGGTCAAGTGCCGCAAGAAGCTCACCGCAATCGCCTGGGTAGGTATCTGCCACCAAACATCCAGACATGTCGTGGCATTGCCTTCACAGATAAGAAAAATCATAAAATATATATGTTCTTTGTATTTAAAAAAGATATATATATTTACATCCGGGTGTTGTTTCGATCTGTCGCTTGATTAAAAAAAACAGCCTAACGTTGATCTGGATGTTATTGTCGGTAACAAACTGCACGTTTGATCGATGTGCATCTTGTCTACGGTCCAATACTGCGCCATTGATCAGCGTGTTACACTCCAATTGGTGGCGATCAGCTCCAACCTCCAAAAGCGACATCCGAAAAAAAGTAATAGAAAAAAGTGAAACAGCTTTGTCATTTTGACTGATTCTTGAGGGTGAGCCATCACCTTAGTTTTCAATTTGCGTCTACTTTTCTGTACTAAATCGCTTTGCATAAATACACTGATATGTCATTAGAGTTAAATATTTCAAAGAATGAAGCTAAGAGAGCAGATTACGCTTGCGCCTTTGAACGATCTGTTACTTTGTAGATGATTTCAGGCTGCGTTCATAATTGTTTTTATTATTATTGTAAATCTAAAAAAGTTTCGCATTTAAAGGGTGAATTATCAGAGTTGGGTATTACAAAAAGAAAACTAAGCTATTCGTCCAAACAGAAAATTCGTTTAGTGCGTGTTTTAATTATTCATATATTACGAGGTTGTTCTTCCCATGGAGTAAATATTGATCTGCCTAAAACAATTTTGTAGAGATTTATGGTAGAAAGGTTTGAATTTGGGCTAGTTGGTTGAACATGTTTTGGGGTTAAAAAAGCCAAAGAAAACGACGGATGAGTAGAAGAGACACACGCCATAGAGCTCTACCAAGCGCTCTGTGATGTGTGCCTCTTCTACCCACCGTCGTTTTTTAGTGCTTTTAACCCCTATACATTTATGGCCTAGCACCGCGCTAGATTACTCACATTACCGAGCGATCGAGTTTAAAATTGAATTTATTGCCTTTTGCCCCGCCATTACAAAATTTAATTTATAGCCGTAGGTCGATATTAGAAATGCCATATATAGTTTCTACCTAAGCTCCGAAGCCGCAAGTCAACCCACACGCGCGGCTTACTTCCCCACAAGACACGCGGAGAACCAATCACTCTGATATACAAAAGATGTTTGGCAAACACGATGAAAAAAAAATTAAAAAGAAAAATCATTTTCACTTCAAAATAAATTTTGCGATGTGGCAATAGGCATGACGTTTCACGTGATCACGCCATGCACAGTGTCAGATTTCAACTTTCATTTCTGTATAGTCATTGAATAGTTTAAGAAACGTAGGGCGTGGCGAGTCTAGTGCGTCTCATTATCACTCAGCATCCAATGAGATGGCGTCATTAGCCGATAAGAGCACCCAAGGACCAATCACGAAGCAGGGACATATAACAGTTACTTAACGTTACAGCTCACCAAAAGGAAAACACTTACACACAAGGGCAATTTTTCTTCTATGCACTAAGAGCCAATTCAAAAATATAAAAACTTAAATATTATAACATTCTATTACAAATAAAATAAAAACAAAATAAACGTTGAAAAATGAAAATTTAAAAAAAAAATTATAATGAAAAATACTAAAGAATTTTTACTGTTGCTCCCTGCGAGACCCTTTGGCCTAATACCCAGGTTCCCTTTTTGAATGAGTTATAGATGGGTTGCTGACATACCTATCATCCCGCCTTCCAATGCTTGCAGCTCCTATCATTTCCCCAGTGAGTTGGCTGGGACTCTTGCCTAGCGATGAACACCCTCAATCCCTAAAGTGTATATTCCTAAATGTTCCGAGTTGGCGTTGACGATGTTGTTGCCATGCTCTCGGAGGCGGTCATTTAGACACCGTTCAGTCTGCTCTCTGTACTCTCACCCACAAGAGAGTGGGTGCCTAGAGGGAAAAAACCGATCCTCCAATTCGACTCACCGCACTCCGAACTAGTGAAGAGGGGCGGAGTGCGGATGCGTCTAAAGAATTCAATTGCAAAGTCATTCAAGCACACAATTCAAAAAAGCTTCAAAGGGCATGTTACAAGGTTAAAGTCCGCAGAACACGCTACTTCGTTTTTGACGTCGGTGGTTGAAAGGCTCCTCCAAGAGATCAAGCAAGGTGGAGGTGTGAAACAAAACTTCAGGGGCAAGACAAGAAGACCAGTGGTAGCGCCATACATGCGCAAGTTCCCTCATAGGCTTATGAGAGCAGCGAATAGAGTTAACGATGTGGTCTCTTCAGCCCCAAAAGAGCTCTATGCATGTTCAGAAAGGTAAACTCGCCTTTACGTAAGGCAGTAAGCTGCTCCAAGAAGCACAGAACAAGCCATGTTTCCTGTGTAGTCGGTGTTGTTTATTCATTCCCACTTTCCTGTGGGGGAGAGTACATGGGGCAGGCTGGACGGTGTCTAAATGACCGCCTTCGAGAGCATGGCAACAATATCGTCAAAGCCAATTCAAAACATTTAGGAATACACTGGAGGGACTGCGATTGTTCGGCGCTTTTAAAATTGTCATGAGACGACATTGGGTTGGAATCTTCCTGACATTGCAGAGGCGTACTGGTCCTAGTCTGGCCGAAGAATACTCGCACAGATCACCACTGATTAAGAAGCTTCTTTGTCGCGGTCCAATATATTTCTTTCAGTCTTGCCTTCGCAGAGCTTGATGACGTAAGTGTGGGATCGTAACAATCAATGCCTCGGAAAAAGCTCGGGTAGTAGCTCGTGTCCAACCATTGCGGTGATGAGAATAGCCGAACTCTAATAGCGCCTGGAGCTCAGCACGCGTTTTCTGCTTTGCATACCCCAGCGCGTGGCTATAATTTACGTTGGCAGCATGGGATAGGCACCAGGTCACGTGGGCGCTTGTTCTGGCTCTGAGCAGAGCCGTATATGTAGAGAGTTTGGCCATTCGTTGGGAAGATTGAGAGACAAATGAGGAGGCGCCATTGGCCGAAAGCGGGCAGGGCGTGTTCCAGGGCGTCTTCAGAAATTCAAATGTGCCCAACCAGAAGCCGGAAATAATACCCTGGCGGCGGTCGCAAGAAACAAACTTGATAAGTGCGTTGGAGAAACTCTCGGGGGCTGAAAATATGGTGCACGTGATGTTTCAATCACGGTCATCCAAAATCATGGTGGAAGAGTGCGATTAGCGGAACGATCCACATAATCCGTACGCCAGGCGCCGAGGGCCGGGCATCTGCCGTCTGAGCGGTCGCACTCTCTCCGAGAAAAACAGAGTTGAGCGGCGCATTCGTTTCTTACATCTTTCTGCATGATCATGACCGAAACATCACGTGCACCCTATTTTCAACCACGAAGGTTTACTACACTTCACTCTTACGCGCTTATTAAAACCACATACGAATATATACTTTTGATTGAAACAGTTTCTCGCTAGCACTGCTAGGGGATTCTTTTAGGCCTCTGGTTGGCCAAGAGAGCATAACAAGCCCACTTTCTGCGTCTGGTGCACGCCCGCGCCTCTCATTGACGAAACTCTGTATACACGGCTCCGGCTCCGAGTTAAATAGGGAGGAGCGATGTTCATATTTCTCGAATTTGTTTGGCGACTTCTATTGCCCAGAAATTAAAACTAAGGCACGTTTATTCAGTTATTAATATTAGGGAGTGATTCTAAGTGTATTTAGCAAAAGTAGAAAAATCGCTTCATGACCGAAATGTAGATTTCGCAAAATAACGCCGCAGAAGCGTCGAACGGGACGCTGCGAACTTTAAAACATCACTCATTAATCGATATCTCAAACGGATGGCCGTACTTTTGGAAAAGAAGGGCGCGATCCAGCGAGGGCTATGACGTCATTGTCCTCCTGGAAAATGTGAGAATGAGGGGAAGCGGCCTCGCTTCTCTCCTCCTCGCTTCGGTTCACCAGCTCGGCGGGACGTGGCGAGGAGGAGAGGGACATAATTGATTTGAAGCCAGAGAAGAAGAAATAAAAATAATATGCCTTTGTCCGCTCCGAGGAGGAGAGGGAATGAGAATCGTGACGTATCGTGAGATAGGTCGCGTCACAATTCTCTCTTCTCCACGCTACGTTCCATCGGCCTCGTCGGCCGTGTTCAATCGCGCACTTCTTTTCCAAAAATACGGCGATCCGTCAGAGATAGCGCTCTAAAGTGATGTGTGCTTTTTTTTTTTTTTTTAAGGGAAGGGGGGTGGGTGCAGCGTCTCGCCTATCCTTATCCCTTTAAATAAGTTTACTGTGCTGGGCAAGAGTCCCAACGAACTCACCAGGGAAATTATAGAAGCAGCCAGCATTGGAAGACGGAATGACAGGTATGTCAGCAGCCTATCTTCTCACGTTCTTTTTTTTTTTCTTATCTTCTTTTTCATTTTTTCTCTGTATTCGCGTTTATTTCTGTCAAAAGAGAAAGACGAGCGTGTAATTGCGCGTGCCTCTGTGCGCGCGTGGAATTTGCAGTAAACCTTCGGTTGTTAGTCAGCGTATGTCCTGTGTCCATCCTCTACTTTGTATCCCTTTTTTATTGCGCTGTTTTTTTTTTTCATTATATGCCCATCTAGCTATTTGAAAAGGGAACTTGAGCATTGGACCTAGAGGTCTCTGGGGCAGCAGCAGCAGTAGGAATTTTCAGTATTTTTGACCTTCATTCTTCATTCTTCAGTTTTAACTTTTTTTTTTTTTTTCACTTTTATCTTTTTTTTTTTTAATTTTTTTTGTCATTTTTTAGTGTTTCAGCTTTTGGATTGGCATCAAGAGATAGTGCATGAAAAAAGAGTAAAAAAAGAGTTGTTCATTGTAAGCAGAAGAAGAAGAAGATAATCAATACAAACCAATAGGAAGTATTCACTGGCAGCCGTAGTTGTGTGCGCGAGTGCTGAGCGCGTGCTGATGGCGAGCTTCCACGGTTCTTTTGCAAGGTGCATTCCACACCATCAGGATTGCCAGTCCTAGCAGCCTATTAATGTGGGCTCGTACTGAGCGTGCGCTCTAGGAGAAAGACGAGG